ATTTCATGTACAGAATTGACCTCTCTACAGATTTATTAGAAGTATAGTATAGTATAATACTTTTAGATATATTTTTATATATTTTGTAAGAATAATCAAACAACACAAGACACAAGTGGATGAATGTTTTGGTATAATGTACTCCAATTTTAGAATTGTTTTTTTAAGTTTCTAATAACGCATCTAAAGCTTTTTGTGCATCAAGACCTAAATTAAAAAGAATTATTACGAAATAAAATTTAAAACAAATATCCAGACTTAAAGATGTTTGGATGTTTGTAATTTATATTTGTTTTAGTAAGTGTAGTATCCGACGACTTTATTTGCAGGGATTAGGAGAAAGATTACCACTTGTTTAACGATCTTATACAAACAAAAGAAAATAAGAGAAGATTATCACTTATGTGACCTTTAATTCTAAAATATAACAAATTAATGTTTAATATGAACAGTGTACCTGTTGTATCATAATAAACTGTTCATGTGAATAGAAATTAAAAAAGTTGAGGCGCCCGGCCGTTCCCGTAAAACAAAAGGCAGGATGGCAGCAAAACGGGGCGCGTGGCCCGCTACCAGACAAAAAGGTGCGCTAAATAAACACTGCACAGATGATATATCAACACAAGTAATTACGATTGTTGCCGACGGCGACCGCCGATTTACGTAGCTGGCAACACCACTCGTTAAACGCGCCGCGTACCGAACACAAATATTATTTTAAACTGTGACACGATCACCGCTCGGGATTTAACGAGCACCTTTCGGGCTGTTGTTTTTTAACAGCGACATCGGTTTGCCGAGCAATAATAACGAACGAAATGACGGATTCTAGTAACGTTCGCGAACAAATTCTAGTTGGATACATTTAACGTCGAAACATGTTTTATCGTAACGTCGTCTCTTTTTATGACAAGAGAAAGTATATATAAAGAAGAGAGCGTAAATATTTCACACATGCCTCATATAGCAAATGGCTACAAGAAATATTTATAAGGGCTAAATATACAGGGTTAGTTGTGATATTTATAATATTCACTTGAGGTAAATTAATAAGTTTCCCTGGATTTAGGTTTTTGTAATTGGTATTAATTTAATCCCATATACTTTAACGGCCGCTTAAATAACTAAAATTGTTAGAGAATAAAAGAAGCACCATCTATTTATGTATTGTATATAAAAAAGGAAATAAACATTTTTAATTACTAAAAAAAATTTAAATGGCAGACTGGTATATATATCAAAACAGTGGAAACCTCTGAATCTAAAATATACAAACTAATAACCGTTTCGTACGTAAATAAATTATGATACTCATTGATAGGGTCAAAAACAAGGTCCGGCCAAACGGTCTATCACAAGCCGACGGTGGTCCTTAGTTCCTCGCATATATCGTTGCCACGATTAAAATATATAGTATCACGTCAAATCCAGTTATCACAATCAAAATAAATGACAAATGAAAACGTCAGTGTTGCAAGTCACGGCCGCGGCGAGCCGGTACGTTTTTTACTCTGGCAACATTCCCACTGACCGCTTTGTTGTGCCACGTCACATTAGACCGACGAATTTTCAATAAAACCACTCTTCGGCGCATTGCCCTCCTTTTATTATTTGACATGCAATAGATCTCGGGATCTCTCACACCTGTTGGGTGACCCATTTCCATGATCAGGTATTGTTTATATTTAAATTCTTTAATACACATTTGAGGTTATGCCACTTCCTTTAGTATATTTTGTTTATTTTTATCGAAAAATTGTAGATGGCAACATTTAGTGCAAAACATTATTTAAAGAATAATTAAAATAATTACAAACTTTTTTTTTGATGGGTGAAAATGGTATGGTAACCCCACCTGCGCTAACGGGATACGCTGGCGGAGCACCAGAGAAGGGTGATAGATGAGAATGAAAACAGGCCAGTTAGTCCATCATGATGAATTCATCAGGAATTAACCATGATAGTTACCAGGGGGAACTGCGAGAAGGTCGACTTGGCTGGGTATATTGCTAGCAATGGGATTCTCAGTCTCCATTACTAACAATCCCTTTCCCCCCAATTATAAACGTAAACACAGTCATAAAATTTAGATGCCGTTTTCACAGCAACATTTTTGAATGTTTGCTTTAAAATTAAGTGTATATCTATTTTATAGCGAAGCGCCATCTAGTAGTGATTTATTTCGTTGGATTAAAATTCACGCGAACGATGTTGCAGGTGAAAGCTAGTATACCCGTACATATACTTAGTGAGACCTGTATTTGTTCATGATACGTTTTCGCATACCTGTCGACGCAATAATGATGTTCCGAGCAATAAACGCGATACCACGATTGTAGTCGTGTTTATATAGAACATAAATATTGATCATAAACTAGGAACTTTAATTAGGTACTTCTACCAAGGTGCTTATGATGCGTGTACACTTACAGATGAAGCAGTAATCTTAGTTCGATGTAATGGAACTTACACGCCCTTTACCTCATTCCCTTACCACAAATAAAATCCAAAAACTTTACTTATTATATTAAAATTATGAATAATAAACAATAGTAACTTTTTTATAAAAAAAAAAAAAAAAAAAACTAAAATGTTTACCAGACATCGTCAAAATTCTAAAAAATATATAAGAATACTTTGATATAAAAACTTTAGAAGTAACACAGTTTTTATATCAATTTTACTTATATAATTTTTTTGAATTTTTGCCTGTCTATTTGTATGTTTGTCTCGGCATCATAAGAATGGATACCTATTTTTAAAATCCACGCGTACAAAGTTGCGGTCAAAAGCTAAATAAATAATATTACTACGCTAACATTATTGTCCAACAGCTATAATGAAATATCTAGTCCGTACAGTGACATAACTGAAAATAAATTACATGACCGCGAGGGAAGTACGAACGTTATAAATTTATTGCACATTGAATGTCGACCGTGTACATGAAATTAAAAACTCATTAATCTACATTTAGGTATATTATAATAACATCGAATGCATCATTATTTCATATCCGTACCGGTTTATATGTTTCCTATGAGACAATAATAAATGTTTGCTGAACATTAGTTCAGTAAAACTTTATAAGCACTTATCAAGCGTCATAACTAGGTATTTACTTTAGAACATTTATTGCAAATATGTATTAAGTTTTCAAAATATGTTTATAATATAGGCAGACAATGCCTATAAGATGCATTGAAAATAGCATCTCTAGTATAAAATATCATATAGTGAACACGTAAACTAAGTTAGAAAAGTCATACTAATGTTTTAAATATGAAAGTGAGTTTGTTTGCTCCTGACACTTAAATAATTGTCGTGCAATTTTGCATGAGGGTATATGCTATTTTTTTATCCCGGTCGATCTACATAACTCGAAAGTGCGGATGTGGTCGCGGATAAATACTAGTAAATAAAATCGAGGACACGACTGCGCAATGTGTTCATAATTTTATATCCAAATTTCTATTATTCTGTACCTCACAAGTGCAATAAATATTTGAATCATACCACTACCATGAATTCAATCATTTTAAATTCACAATCAAGTCTTTTGACATAAAAAAAAATCCGTAAAATGTGATCCATCATTTCTTATTTCTCTCACGCTGTCCCCGCTCGAACAGTACCTACGAATCATTGTAAACATCTCCAAATGATGCGGTTAATCTCTAAAATCAGTCTTGATTTCACTTCCTTGTCACCCTGTCAATGTTATGAATAATGGTTCTCATCGAGTCCCATGCAAAGACTGGTAACATGCGATAAAACAAAAAAAAAATGCCAGATCAGATCGGGGCCTATATCAATTGTAAATTTTCCGACGCGTATCGATGTCCGTCCGTGCACAAAAAGACCGGCGCGGACGCTGCCGATAGTGCAGCATCATGGCCGCCACACAGCGCGCGGGTCACAGGTCACCTGCACACCGGACCGCCTACCCCGCGAGCATTCCTCGCCACATACCACATATAACCCTGTCTAATGCGCAACAACAAATCGAAAGGAGCGCTCCGTAGCCGGCCGGTGCCATCTTCCTCGGCCGCGTACTCCACTGCACGGATGACTCGGGAAGCGATGACTGTGTATAATATAACTTTAATACGTCGAAGGTTAATTGGACGTAGGCAGTGTATTGTAAAGGAATTAACGTGCGCACCATCTAAACGATGTGTGTGCACAAGTTGTTTTTATAAACAATTTCTGTACGTATTGTAACGTTTTATGAAACGTTCCTCCGCCGAGGTCGGCGTCGTTGCGCCGAAGCAAGGCACGTATGTTCATTAGCACACGTCATTTGTTAATTTCGATGAAATATTAAATGATAAATATATTGACGATTGTCGATATGAAAAGCGTTCGATGCGAGCACGCGATTCGACAATGTATAGAGGGATCAGAAGGCCAGGGTTCTAGCCGTGAACCAGTCAACGTAAGATTATACATATTTTTATAACTTTTAATAACTACACAATAAGCGTATACTAATAGTTAATAGCAGTTAAAGTATTACAATATAGCTGCGTATTGAAGATTTAATTTGAGGTAATATCAACTAGTTACATACATTTATTTAAAAGTGCGCTGTTATGCTGATATCTTCATGGATGCTGTAATGGTAGATAGATAAATAGATATGTAATTTATTTGCACTACTTACAGCACACAAGTAACAAAAGACATAGATAGACATGTACAAAAAAATGGAGAAATGAAATATTAAAGTAGGAAAACACATAATGGATGTAATACATTTTCTTTTCTTTTCATGTGTGTGTCACACTAATACAAAATGGGCACATCTCATTTCATTGCTCTGCCCTCAAAAGGGCAAAACATTGATTTTATGTTGTATCCAAAAGTAACGAAATACAGAGTTAATAGTTGTCCTTAATCATACTCGTAGAGTGGTAATTGCCACTTATCATAAACAATATTCGTTTTTTTTAACGTCTTGGTAGTCGCGTTATCGCTAAAAGCTTCAGGGGACTCACTTGGCATAGTCCTGCTTGCAGTAGACCTGGCGGTCTCGCAGAAAACACGAGGGGTGTCGGTCGAGTTGCACTGCGCAGACGCAGCAGCGTAGGCAGCCCGTGTGCCACGCGCCGCCCCCCACCTCCAGCAGGAACCGATCTGCGATGGGCTCGCCGCACGCGCAGCACGTGCGGTGCTCCGTCTGTAACATTTAATTTTTTTTCATAAGACGAATGTCTAATAGGCACCTGGTAGCCACTGGTAATCGTCAACTATAGACATGAACAGCATTATTTATATATATATATATATTAAAAATTTTCCAAGAAATACAATCTTAAACTACAATAGATACAAGTCTTAGATAAAATCCATCATGAAATAAGCGAAAAATAAACAAAACTGAAAAATCTAACAGTGATGCGACGGCAAAAAATGTAATAAGAATGTTGGTAAGACTCATTTCAAATAGAAAGGCATTCCAATAAAGATTTTGCAAAAACAATCTCAAAGTATTGCAGCAATGCAAGGAATTCAGCTGGAGCCGATGGTTCAGTGAATGATGGATATGTTCAATGATCAAGATGGAAATAGTACTTGAATAAGATTTTTTTTTATACAACTTAGAATGGCAAACAAGCTGACGGCCCACCTGATGGAAAGTGGTAACCGTCACCTACAGACATGAGCAGTAGCATGGACATAACAGAGTATACTGTTTCGCCCATGATACTCTCTTACGATATCCACGGGAAAGGAAGGGTTGGCCTTTTCTATACCAGGACCACACGACAAAAACTTTACTTGTTGACAATTAAATTAAGGACATCAAATATTAAAATCGCAGTGTCAGTGAACTTTGGCTATGGCCTTACAATAATTAATAACTGTAAATATAATTAAAAAAACCGGTGCTACCTGCTTTACGCTGTACACGGTTGAGGCCGCGTGTCGCTAAGTTATAGACAACGTGTTTTACATTAGATTACACATTTAATGCGACAATTACACCATATTATATTAAAAAGATATTTTAACTAATACCACCACCAAGATATTTTAACTAATTCACCAGAGGGAGACTTTGTACAAAAGTCGATTGCTTGGGTACCTCAGTCCCATTCGTGTTTCTACTGTGAAGCAGTTGTGTTTGCATGGCGTGTTTCGGTTTGAAGGGTGGGATATGGCGTGAATTTACAGGGTACAGAGGAATAACACCTGAGTCCTCAGGAATGGCAACGCATGGGGGGTATCATGGGCGAAACAGTATACTCTGTTATGTCTATGGCACTGCTCATGTCTATAGGCGACGGTTACCACTTTCCATCAGGTGGGCCGTCAGCTTGTTTGCAAATCTAAGTTGCATAAAAAAAAAAAAATAATTAATACTCCTTTCCACTTAGGGTTTTCTTACAGAGTTAAGCTCGCCTGTTGTACATCTTTATTTAATATGTATGTTTGTATTTTTTGTGTACAATAAAGAATAAATAAATAACTATAAGTATATAATATATAATAAATAAATATATAACGATTTATAATTTATGTAAATATTTATTTTAATTTCTGTTTAGCACTACTACTGCCCACTCACTACTTCCTATGCCACTGCGTTTTTTTTTTTTTTTTGATGATTGAAAATGGTATGGTAACCCCGCCTGCGCTAACGGGATACGCTGGCGGAGCACCAGTGAAGGGTGATAGATGAGAATGAAAACAGGCCAGTTAGCCCATCATGATAAATTCATCACGAATTAACCATGATAGTTTCCAGGTAGAACCGCGAGGAGGTCGACCTGGTTCGGTATATTGCTAGCAATGGGATTCTCAGTCTCCATTACTAACAATCCCTTTACCTCCTATGCCACTGCGTTAGGTTGTCTGGAAGAGATCTCTTTTAGAGATAAGTACGCGTTTTCTAACACTGTTATTAACTTATTGCTGTTACTATATGTCTTAGTACAATAAAGAATATATAATAATAACTTTTCATATTAATATTATAACTGTGTACTATATTTAAAAACAAATCTAAAACCTTTGCTTTAGTTAAAGCTTATTACACAATTACCTAATACCCAGTAATGGGGGAAAAGAGATTGTTAGTAATGGGGTCTAACAGCCCCATTGCTAGCCATATACCCTCTCAGGTCGACCTCCACGCGGTTCTCCCTGGAAGCCATCATGTTTAATTCTTGTCGAATTCATCATGGTGGGTCAACTGACCTGCGTTCATTCTCACCTATCATCTTCCACTGGTGTATACCGATAGCGCAGGCGGGGTTGCTATTTCATGTTCACCCATTAAAAAAACTACCCAGTAACGATACCTAAATGGGTTTTAATTTAAAATGCGGCTTTTTAACGCATATATTTTTTTGATGAATTGTAATTAAATTTAAATAAATATTTATTATTGTAATTGTCATTATTACAATCGTAATTAATTTAATTTAAGTGACATTATGTAACAATAGTATAGAATAGAAAATATTTATTGGCAGAAAAATATATTTATAACAGAAAATACAAACATAAGAAGTGTCCCATACTCGGCAAAAGGAACTGGCTCAGCTGATGCTGCGAGTGTCCCAGTGCAATGTGTACAGCTGCACAGCGCTGGTTTTCAGTCAGTACCATTATTTATATTTGTACGCTTTGTGATAGTAAAACATCCCTCCACATCTCTATGTAACATTGCATTATATAAATATAAACGCGCCTGGCCATGCAAGTCATGGTCATGCAAGGGGCTTTCAAATTATTATCTACTAGCAACCCGCCCCGTCTTAGCACGGGTGCAATGCTGATACCAAATAGCGCCGCCGGCCGACATTAGAAACCTCTAAAATTATCAGTGTTTCTCTCCTATATTATACATATAAACCTTCCTCTTGAATTACTCTATCTATTAAAAAAAAACAGCATCAAAATCCGTTGAGTAGTTTTAAAGATCTAAAACTTTGATTTATACTATGTAGTGATGTTACGTATTGAATCTGCCATTATTGCCATCTGAATATATTTTGATTGACATGTTATTCAATACAATATTTATAATAATGAACTTGATATAACCAATAATTCAAATAACTCATGTGCTAGATCGTATCGCCACAAAATAATTGTAAAATCAACTTTTATTGAAAAATAACAACACTTGAGTTCCTTGCCTGTTCTCATTAGCTGAAATTGCATTCCAAATGGATGGCAGAATCACAAAAAAATGACTATCCATAAATGCTTGTAATAAAGTTTACTGGAATAAAAAAAAATATATTTTTTTTATAGGTGAAAATGGTATGGTAACCCCGCCTGCGCTAACAGGATACGCTGGCGGAGCACCAGTGAAGGGTGATAGATGAGAATGAAAACAGGCCAGTTAGCCCATCATGATGAATTCATCAGGAATTAACCATGATAGTTCCCAGGGAGAATCGCGAGGAGGTCGACCTGGTTGGGTATATTGCTAGCAATGGGATTCTCAGTCTCCATTACTAACAATCCCTTTCCCTCCCAAAATATCAATATTATTATTAGATACATTTAACATAATATATTTTTACATTTATAATTACATATCCATTTTTATGCAAATACATAACCGATTGATTGATTTGAACACAAAACATGGAAGATCAGATATATATAGATACCAATATCACCTGTTTTTGACGTAATATTTTAAAGACAAAAAAAGAGTTCCAACAAGAGGAAAAATTATACATATGGTACATCGTAGTACGTATGTAACTAAAATATGAACAAATATTACAATATTCCATATTAAACCGACACCCAAACGAAACGTATAACAAGATTACATTTGATAATACAGTCTGCGAACTGACAATTAGTTTATAGAGTTGTGTTGCACATGTGCCACGGACAAAGCTAGGCGCGTGCATTGTTTATATGATTGGCGGGGCGTCGCGAGCGATTCGATGTCGCGACCGCACGCGGGGGCGAGCGGGGGGTCGCGGCGGTGCGCGGGGTTGTACGGGGGTGTTGTGTGCCTAATCTAATAGAGCCGTTGCATAAACACACCCAGCCCTTGCTTTGATTCAATAATCGAACGTGTTATTTGTCGCAATTGCAACAAGCGTTTGTTTTGTAATTACGTTTGTGCTGTATTTTTGGCGGTCACAGGGAAGAAGTGGTAAAATGTTTGAATTGTTTGAACAAATTGTTATTTTGTTTATTCGTCTCGGCTACCCCTCTGAAATTAAGTTTCTGAACTTATAATTAAGTTATGAATTTTTTTTTTTTTTTAAATAAAATTGTGATCCAGAAAAATGGTTTCAAATGTAACAGGATTAGAAAGGCACCGTCGTAAGTTAATGCTTTTTATTAAATAAAAATAAACATAGAAAATCAGTTGATAAGTACTACATAACTTGAATCTAAAACCATGGATATAGTCGATTCCATAGCCTTCTTTTTCAAGTTGGAAAAAACATAATATGTAGGTACATGCCTAACGTATTTAATATTGGGACTTGAGTTAACATTGCGTGGCGCCACCGGCGACACTTCACCACGTGCCTGCTATTTTTTTTTAAAGGATGACAATAGAATGGGCAGCCCGCCTGCGCTAACGGTATACGCTGGCGGGGCACTAGTGAGGGATGATAGGTGAGATGAAAGGGCAGGTCAGTTAGCCCATCGTGATGAATATACTAGGAATTCTGCACGATGGTTTTTGGGGGGGGACCACATGGAGGTCTGACAAGGTATATTGTTAGCAATAGGAGTGGTAGTCCGCATTACTAACAATCCCTTCCGCCTCGTGCCTACTATATACTACATAATGAAGTGCAATTAAAATTATTTTATATATTGGTAAAAAATACTATTATAAATTGGAACTACGACCACTAGAAATAGGAGGTAACCTGGAAACTATCGTGTTGAATTCCAGGTGTATTCATCACGATGGGCCAACTGATCTGTCTTTTCACCTATCATCTGTCACTAGTGACCCGCCAGCGTATATCGTTAGCACGGACGGTGTTACCAATTCATCATCATCCATAAAAAAAGCACTACGAGAAATAATCTGATGATGTACTAATGATAAGCGACAATAGAGTTAAATCTGGAATTATATTACAAATCACTACCACCAACAACTTCCTAAAAACGACGTACACATTTCTAAATAATGCAGTGCACAAGTACTGCTGCACTCTATAATCCGGG